AAAAATTGACAGTGAATGTACTTTAAGAATAACAATGAATCTAGTCAGTACAGTACCACCATGTCATTTGCTTAATGCTAATATGTAATGCTGTACCACAAATGTTAAATCGTTCTTCCTTAAAGGGGGTGACATCATGCAGGAAATTCAAATCAAGTATAAATGATTCTCTATTTTTTAATTAAAAAGGAAGCATCCCCTCCCTGCTCTCCCCAGTGGCTTGCTTTTTGTTTGGGCTCCCTGACTCAGTGAACTCAGTGAATCACTGGGTACAATTTGCTGTCCAACTCGAAAGATGTATTGACTGGCAGATTCATTCATTTACCAAAGGAAAAAAAAAAGAAGAAGAAGAAGAAGGAGGAGGAGGAGAACAACAACAACAACATATTTTAAAAACTCATTGAACCTCATGATTTACTTCGAGCCCAAAGAGGTACATCTTAGATGAAGTGTGAGCTAAGGAAAAGAGGATTGGCCAGGATAGCATACTTTGGATATGATGCCACCTCTCAGATGGCTTTCATTTTCATGACCAGGAGACGGGCATCTTAAAAAAAATAAAAAAGGCTGGATATTGCATATAAAGTTTAGAGAATTGAATATTGTCTGCTAAAGCAACAAGATTTACGAGAAATGTCTGGTTCAATTGCATTAGGGAAAAAAATGATTTCAAAAAAATCGCTTCCCTGCCTTTTAAAATGAAAACCATCTGCAATGAAAAATTTAAAATGATAAATCATCTCTTTTCACACTGCTACTGATAAATGGTTAGTTTACTTCCTCTTTTTGGAGGGGACAGAATAGGGATACAAGAGTATGTGATATTTGTGCATGCAGACCTTTGATTAAATATCTGTTTTTTTCTGGAATTTTTAATAAGTTTCTATGTTATTATTATTGTAATTATCATATGATATTATGAGAGCTATTGTGTGGAAATTCCAGGCTGTATCTTTTTGGAGTTGAAGTTCAATAACATTTGGCCTTTCTCAGCTATGGGAAAAAACTTTCTGTGTTTTAATAAATATGGTGATTTTAAATCCATGGGGTATACTTAAGTCAAGATCTCTTCCATGTAAAGCATTTAAAAATAGTCAGCTTATACAAGCTTATGTTCATATTTGATGTTAAACATTTCATAATAGTTACTTGTTATAGGAAAATATTTTAATTTTGATAACAACCTACAGATTCTAGCATGAATTGAGAATATAAAGGAAGAGGAAAGAAATCCATAATCACTGTATTTTTCCCTCTCCAATTCATGTGCTCTCACACACACAGACAGAGAAGAAGCAGTGATTGAAATAATAAAGCTATATTAGACTTTTTATTTTATTTTATTTTTTGGTTCCTTACTATAAAAGCATTTAGGCAAGTGTGCCCATTATTTCATCTCGCCCAGATCCTAACAAATAGTGAGAACCTAATAAATGGCAGTGAATGAATTCACATAAAAATGATTCTTCATATTCTGTTGCCCTCAGTTTACTAATCTAGAGGGTATTGATTCACGAGTGGCTTGCTCTGAAACAGGAGTGAATAGAACTGTCCCTAATGGTGGTGTCTGTTCCTTTCCTAAAAAATATAAAAAAATAAAAAAATAGGGGCACCCAGACTCCTTTGGAAACATGTAAGTTTAATTGGAAATTCTGGCGCCTACTTTACTAGTCATAAACTAGGTAATTGTTTCCTAATGCAACCTGGCAGTGCCATTGAGGGCAGATTATACAGACCTGCCATCCTGAGGTGTTCTAAACAAGTGACAAATCATTAACAGCAAGTCTCTGGATCTCCGAGAGTGCGCTCTGTGGCTGCTACTGGGGGGAAACAAGACCAGAGAGGAGCGAGGGAGATCTGAGCAGGCAGAAGCTGTTGCATTAATGACTGGCATTGTCAGCACTGTGCGCTGGGGATGACTGCAGCATCTTCACTTTCACCTTCTTCTCAGGGGTGTTGCTATGGGTACCATCTCAGAGGTGTCATAGAAAAAAGAGCAGGAGGTAGACTGATGAACAACATAAGGAAGTAAAGGATATGCAACAGCATAACAATATGAAGACATTCTTCCCATACAAACGAGTGTGTTGCATACTTCGATAGGGACCCATTAAATATGGAGGATGGCAGACAGGAGAATTGGTTGAATTGTCAACAAATGACAAATAAAAGGTGCTTTGGAACTATTTTATGGCCCCAATTATCCATAAAGATAATCGTAGTACTGGACCTTTATCACTTGGGTACAATCTTTTGTCACTAAATTAATTTATGAGCCCCTGGGAATTGCATGCCTGTGTGGCGTATGGATGTTTTTGCAGTATGGCAAGACTTGGGAAAGCTGTTCATTATTTTAAAATCTCAGTGTTTTTTTTTTTTTCTTTGCACTCTTTTCAAACTTCTGCTCTCTCCCATGATCAGAGATTCTGTGAAGGTGCCAACTCCCTAGCACTTTGACTTTGAAATTAAACATCATGGTAACCTTTCCCCCTGTATTATGTTAATCATCATTAGCCTAATTCTCTTTCTGTGTGTCATACTTTAGCCTTTTAATAAAAGTCAGGAAAAAATTATTAGGAGCATTTTAACAAATTGCAGCATTTCAATGGTTATGTAGCAGTTGTCAGATTCTTTCCTAGCAGAGTTGGAAAAGTGACATTTTCTTAGTCTTCCGAGTTTATTCAACTTATTAAAATAGCATAAACAATGTTGAGGTGGAAAACAGGTTTCGCTACCAGTTTTTATTATAGTGTTATAATCATAGAGTCCAACCACATATATATTTATAGGGGAGATTATTAAAAATACTATGGTGGGAACACAGAACAACTTCCCCTCATAGTGTGATTGGAAAGTGAAAGTTCATAATTTATGTGTTGTGTGGCATCCAGCCTTTCCAAACTGGCTTGAGTGGTTTCTGTAAAAAATATAGCTAGATATTTTTGTTGTTTGGGTTTTTTTCTTCCCTTTTCTATTATTTACTTATTTATTATTTTGACTTTTGTTTTCCCATTTTAAAATCATGGTAGTTGCTGGGAATGTCAACCAAAATAACACTCATAATCTGAAACCACTGCCCATTATTTTCACACATATATCATATAACTGTCATTGGAAACCAAATTCTGGGGTGATTTGACCAAACTCTTGGGAGGCTATTGCAGATACTTTTCTATAAAAAACTATGTTTTTACTAAAATCATACAAAAGGACCCTTGGCCCTGACCCTACGGCATATTTATTTTTTGTAGGCATCAATTTACTCAGGCAAAGAAACAGGAGAAGTTCTTAGAGAGGGATGAGGGCCTGACTTTCAAACACTTCATTTTTCTGTCTTTGACTTAAGGTATAGACCATTGTTAGAACTAGAAATAGATTATTTATGGAAAAATGAAATCTGATTTAACTAAGTGGTGAGAGCTAATACAGATTTGAAAATATAGAAAGAACATAGTCTTTATTCATTAATCTGTTCATGAATTCAACATTTATGGAACAGCTACCATGTACCAGGTACTGTACTTGGTATTAGGAAAAGAAAGGTAAATAAGACACAGGCTTCTCCCAAAGAGCTTGCAGGGCAGTACATGTAGTCTTTAAATAGCTTATTATATAATGCTGTGAGTACCATGTATGTATAATAGTATCATCTGAGACATCTAGAAATGAGGGAAATAGGATTATAATTCAGTAAGGGGCTTCTAGAGTATCAAATAAAAGGAATACTTTAATTTTCAAAAGCTTCTTGGGTTATAAAAATCAACTTGAAATATTAAAAACAAGAGAAGTAGTGCATTGAAGGTGGTATTACAAACTCCCTGCTAGACAGGGATGACATGAGAGCCAATGCAAGGAATGTGGTTAAAAGAACCTCAGAATAGACCTCAAAATTTGGCACTTCATTACCTACATGTTATTGTATCCACTTTGCAAAGAAAATGTTCTTTGCTGAATTGAATGTCATTATTATTCGTATGAATTATGCCTTCATGGCAAGTAAGAGTTAAAAGGTTCTTATACTCATTCCTGGGTTTGAGCTATATAATCAGGGCATTTTTTTATAATGGAGTTTCTTGAAATCAATTATTGTCTTTTATTACAGGGTTCAAATAATTTTCCTTCCAACTCTGATGTCAAGTTACATCTAGTCTAGAGCAAGAGTAGTATTGGGAAGGAATTATTTCTATTAGAAACTCAATCATTATTTAATTCACTTTAATTATGTTACTAAATTTGCTTTTTTTATTTTAAGTTCCTCTTACCTTTTCAGATTTGAAAGTTGTCTACAGATATTAGAAACATTTGAAATAGTATGTGCAGTTTATAGTTACTAGCTCAGCACTGGTACTTACTGAACAATTAATAATGCCACCTGCTGTTATTAGTAACAATAAAAGTAGCACATATTAAATCTTGTAAGATAGCCAGAGGCCATCAAGTCATCCTCCTTAATACTACAAATTTTAGTAAATTTTTGAAATTATCTGGCCAATTTAAAAGTTGGATTTAATATATTTACAACATTCAACTATATTGCAACATGATTATAAATTCCTTTGGGATTTTTTTTTTTTTAATGTTCAAAAGACGTCAGCTTTTACTACAATGTAAAATGTAGAGCCTTTATTGAAATAAGTCTTCAGGAAAGCTGCTAGGGATTTTTATGCAACCATTAAATATATAAACACTTGTAAAGGGCAGTGTATCTATATATACATACATATGTATATATGTGTGTATATGTGTGTGTATTTACACATATTTATATGAAGCATGTGTGAATATACATTCTCATATTTATCTGTACATATGTCTGCCCCTGCATCTGGAAGAATATATTTGTGTTTGTAGAAAGTTGGTCCAGTGTTCATATCCAAATGCAAATTTTGACTCTTAGAAGCACATTTTCATATTTGCTTCCTTTCATATTTCTTCCTTTCTCAGTAGTTTTGCCAGTTGGTGTATTTCTTTGCTTATTTCCACTTTTTCTTTCTCTGCAGCATCCCCCATGAAGTGGCGCTGAAAGATCACGTTAGCACAGTTCCATGATGTGAAATACCGCAAGTCTGCAATTCTTCGGTCTTGAGAGTGTCGCCGGGCTGAGAGGATGGAAATCTTTCAGTAATTATACCAGTTTGTATTCGTCTCACATTTGGGACCAAATACAAATCCGATCCACTCTTTCTCCCTGTGAATATTCATAAAAAACAAAGTGCCAATTCTGGTCTAATCATGTATGGAACCAAATATGTTGATGAGTCCTAAGTATATACTGTATGTATGTATACATATGAATGTATATATTTGTACACACTAATTTTGCTTGTGTCCTCCTCTGTGCAATTTGTTTGTTTAGTATAGGGGTTGCTGTTATAATGTGTTAATAAGCTGCTGAAAGCTTGGCACCTATTACTTGAAATGACAGCTATGTTAGAAGCCTATTAACACTCCATAGCAGCAGCTCTGCAGCTACTAGAAATGAATTTCAAAGAAGGTAAATGAACAAAAGCGATTCATATCTCTAAGGAAAGCAAATACCCTGCCCAGAACCATATATACCTTGGAAATATACAGTATATAAAATGAAAAACCTCTTCCAGTTAAAGAAACAGCGGAAGGGAATATTTGGAGAAAGGAAAACTGCCTAAAAGATTTCCAAACAACCTTGAAGACATAAATGTAAAGGATACCAAGCGTAACTTCCTCTCTTTGTTTCCATTGTATTTAAACGAGAATCATGTCAAACTTAGTTATAGGAATAGAATAGTACAGGTAGAGGAAATTCACTTTTCATGAGCAAAATTTAAATCATCTGGATTTAGCTCAAACTTTTTCTTAGTTTCTGAGTTTAGAAAGACACCATTTGCTATTGTTCTCTGAGGCAGGGCTCTGCATGAGTCAGCTCACTCTGCCTTTGAACTGCTTTACTTACTTTAAACTGTTCACTGAGATTTTACAAGATGGCTGAAAGTCCTGGGTAAACTTTAGCCATTATAATAAAAATGCAGTAAGTTAAATTGGGAGTAGTTTTTTTTTTTTTCTCTCTTTTGTAATACAGCGTGTGTAAGGGGGTGTGTTTGGTAGGGCTGCAGGGAGGTTATATGCTGATGTTGATGAGAGTACAGTTCTATAATTTCAGGTTAAATTAATATTTAACTGCATTAATTTTTGAAGGCCCTGGCTTCTGAAACTAGCTGTGAGGAAAAAAAACATGAAAAGACTTTTAAATTTCAACTTATGACCAGAAATTAGAAATCACTTTCAGAGTTTGTATAAAACTGGCACTCAGAGGTTATAATAGGCAGTTTCATGTGTAGAATAATTTATATTACCTCTTTAATATTAGGACTATAATGCCTAAGGTACATAGTAGCACTATCTTTAAATTCATATGACCATAGTATCTATTATAATGTATAGAGTGTGTTGTATACATGATGCTATTCATTAACTTTCTGTGTATGGCGCCTATGTCCTATAAAAGGAAAGCTTGAAAACTCTTTGAGAGAGAAAGGAAATAGGTGTAGACTCTAAAAATCTGTATCAATGTAAACCAAGAAACATTTGTGTGCATACACATGTACGCATATACTAAGAAGGCTTCACAAATTAGTTTGGGACAGATTTTTGTCATGTCGGAGGAAAGAGGTGAGAAGAAAGGCAGTTCTCTTTATCACTGAGACTCAATACAAGATGTGTTTTGAATATTGTCTAAATGAAACTCCAATTTTCCAGGTCAGGTGACACTACAATTGCCCTTTGGAACACTAACCAGAAATGCTCTTATATGAAATTCTGTCGACCAAAACTTATGTTTCCCAGGCCCTTCTGCACATCAATAGTGCAATGGCAGCTTGTGATGATGATACTAAAGGCATTCAAACAAGGTAATTTTATTTTTGAATCACTAACAGTTTAGTTATGCTCAGTATTGCTTGTATAAAGGAATTTCAAAAAATAGATTGTAAAATCTTAACAATGTACAACCTATGTATGATATAGATAGTAACACTATTATTCAGAGTATTTGATTAACCCAAATGCCCTACTCCATGTCTAGCAAAGAATAGGCTAAATTTAAATTAATCAGCATTTATTAGAATTTTCTAAAGACCTGTATTCAGAAATGTCAATTACCAGTTTTTTGTAAGCTGCCCAATATTGTAATGTTCTGAATTTATCTATGAAATGGAATATGATCATTCAAATAATAAAACAATAAACACTGCATAACAATAATATTCCCAAGTTAGTAAAAATTAATTTTATTCTTTTACTTCTCAAAATATTATTTTAACCTTTTATTTAAAATATAATATATATGTGGAAAAATTCATGAAGCAAAGATGTAGAGTTCAATAATATACCATAACATCCAGGAAACATCCAGGAGCCACCACTCAGGTCAAGAAATATCACTTGTTTGCAGTCCCACCAACAGCATATGAGGGTTCCTCTCTCTCCACATCCACGCCAGCATTTGTCGTTTGGGGACTTTTTGATAAAAGCCATTCTCACTGGAGTTAAGTGATAGCTCATTGTGGTTTGGGTTTGCATTTCCCTGCTGATTAGAGATGCTGAGCATTTTTTCATATGTTTCTCGGCCATTTGTCACACAGAGGTGCTCTGAAGACCATATTGGTCACACCTTAGAGACATAGCTTCTATATGTATAATTTCTGATTTTTTTTCTGTGTTTCAACAATTACTGAGAAAGATGAGTTAAAATCTTTCACTGGGATTGTTCATTTGTCTATTTCTTTTGTTCTGTCAATTTTCACTTTACATACATTTGAAGGCATGTTAAGTGCATAGACATTTAGAATTGTATCTTTCTGGTGAATTATATCTTTTGCCTTTATTAAATGTCCCTCTTTACCTCTAGGAATTCTTTCTGCCTTAAAATCTGCTGTGTGTGAATGTTACTATGGGCTTTTGTTGTTTATTCTTTTAACATTTCTGAATCCTTATATTTTAGATAGGTATCTTGAAAACAATATTTCCTTGGGTTGTCTGACAATCTTTTTGTCCTTTATCGAAGCATTTAGTCTATTTATATTTAACGTGTTTATTGATATATTTGGCTTAAGTCTACTGTCTTTTCATGGATTGTCTATTTCTGCCATTGGCTCTGTGTTCTTTATTTCATCTTGCTTGTTTTCTACTGGAGTAATTATTTTTCATAATTTTACTTTTGTTCTGTTATCTTGAAAGTTATATATTCAATTGCTGTCCTTTTGATGATTATACTAGAGCTTACAGCACACATCCTTGACTTACAAATGTCTGCTATTAATTGGTGCTTTTATCCTCTTCTTAAATAATGCAAAAACCTTAGAATAATTGGTTTCATGTACCCTTACCTTCTTTTTAGAACACAGGCACATGCACACACATACACATACCACTACCACCACAACAAAACTTAGTTGTTACTTTTATGTAGTCAATATTGATTAATATTTACTCTAATATTTACCCAGTTGGTTGGTGTTCAGTCTTTCCTTAGTTTACGGTCTTTCATTAGAGACATTCTCAAGGGGAGGGTTAGTTTACATTACCTAGTTGGTCTACTATTATCAAAAATGTAAATATTCTTTTTACATCTGTTCTAAATGTTTCCAAGTCTAATATGAGTTTGAGCACTTTGTTGATTAGAGTTTAGACTGACTTTTACTTGGAAAATTATTTATTATATGGATAAAAAATAAGCTACATCTTACTATGACCTGTGTCTTAGGTTGGGTTCTTCAGAGGAAGATACTCTAATGAGGATTCTTGTGAAAGTGATTTGTTAGAAAGCATTCCTGGGGAAAACTAGTGGGAACTTAGAAGGATGCAAGGATCCAGGAATGGTAAGTTTGGCTCAGTCACACAGAGGGGCTCTGAACCATGCTGGTCACAACTTAGATGTATTTCAATCAGGGGCAAAAGATGCTAGAGTATTTAGGTACCCCTGTACCTGCCAGTCATTGTTTAAAGGGTGCCCCCAAAGTAGCATAAATCCCCATGCTCCCTGCTATTCATTTACAGATATAGAGGCTGGCTATTTGCAATGAAAGCGCAATGGGAGTGGTATACTTGGTAATGAGTTCAAGGGGATATAGGCAAATGAATGACTGTGTCTGCCACAACCTATAAGGCCTTGTCTTGACCAAGGTTAATGAATGCAATTCAGGGAATCCAAGAACTTCAGTGGAAAGGGGAGAAAATATATTCATGCTTTCATTAAGCTGTAATGAAATCTAGCATTTTTTAAAAAAATTACGAGAGTAGAAATATTAGCAGAATCTATAAAGTGTGTGTTCCTAGGTTGCACAGGGCCTAGCATGTAGTAAGTTACTCGATATATTTCAGTTTTGAAAAACGTAGGATAAACTCCACTGAAATTAGGCAAAAATTGATGTGGGCTAGCCACAATTAATTAATGTGGACTAGCCACATTTCCAAAGTAAACATTCTAGAATTTGACTAGAAAATGAACATAGTGCTACAACCTCTAACGCCTAGTGCTAGAGCAAATGATAACAGTGTTAGAAGTATAATAATGACCTACATCACTACTCAAAGATATGATGAGGATTAATTCAGTAGATAATGCCTGTCCAGAGTTTTGACTAATGTTAAGAAAAAAACAGCAACCTAAACTCAGTTAATTAACATTGGATATTTTTCTAAGCTTCATACCTACACAGGGAAAGGATGTTTGTTATCCAAAGCACTGTCAGACAAAATGTTGTCCAGAACCAGAAAGTTTAAAAAAGAATCTGAAATTCCCTTGTCATGATGAAGCAAATCACTACCCAAAATTCAGAGATGATGGATCTTTTTGAGTCTCATTCCAATATTAATTGAGGAAGATAGTTTTGCATCAGGAAAGCTATCTTGGATCCCACCTAAGGAAATTTCAAGAATGAAGAGCCCAGTCATAAGCCGATCAGGTGGTTATGATGGTTTGGCCTCAAGAAAAAGTTGTATAAATAGGCTATAAAGTATATTTGGTTTTATTCTATTTCCTTCTTGGTACTAAATATTCCCACCCTTCCTATGAGAAGCCAATTTCATGTGTTATATATTTCTTAGTATATTTTAAAATATGCAGCTTTATTTTTGTGTATAGTTATATTTTTGTCATCTCTTTACTTTGGTCTGTATGTGGGAGAGTCTCCGGAGTGACAGGGCTTCTTGAGAGTAGCCATTCTACACTGTGAGAGGCCTCCAGTGAGAGCCATTTCTTTTTGTGTGTTTCCATGAGCGGCAGCTCCTACAATAGAGGAACGAGAGAGAGAGAGAGAGAGAGAGTACCCAGGGTGCTTCCTGACTAATGGGGTCAGAAAAAGCCTGGTGGATCTGGTAACATCATGGGATCTTTCACTCCAATCCTATATGAACACAACCCCTTTGAGCTTTTTTTTTTAAAAAAAAGCCAATTATTTTTTTAAAAGGTGTTACTTCCAGCTTGATGATTGTTTTGATGCTGTGGAAACCTTCATCGAGAGTCCTGGGACGACCTTTCCCTACTGATTATTGCCTCATGTTTGTTTACTTGGGGTTAATGTGTACCTTCTTCTTAGAAAGACTGTTCAACTCCAATCACTTCCTGAATTTAGTAACTAAGTCTCAATTACACTCATAGCAGACTGTCATTTCTTCCTGCGCTTTGTGTATTCTTTGGGCCAGGAGCTCCCTTGTATATCAAAGGCAGCTCCTTTGTAGCAAAGGGATTCATGAAGGGGCAGAGGAGCCTGGAACCTGACCCCATGTTGCTGCCTCTGCTTCAGAAAGCAGAGAAGTTAAAAACACTCACTAAATAATTCCCTTTAAATCAGAAGAAAAATGATTTTTTACAGTTAACAGTTAGATGCATGATGATTAATGTTTTCAACCTTGAGGGCAAACTATGCCTGTTTAGTATGAATTTTTTATTTCCGTGTTTCAAGTGAAAAATATCCTGGGGTCCTTTTGAATTTCAAACAATTAGTCCAAATTCAAAATGTATTAGGTTAATTGTATATTTTTAATCTAACTTTAATATTCTTTGACTCTGGAAGTGATATGCTAGCATTTATTTGCTCTTGGAATCTTTCAAAGTTTGTAACAATCTTTTATCCCTTTTAAATGGTATTAATGCTTAATGATAAAAGCCTGGCCTAAGGAGAAGATAACATTTAAGAACTTATATGAACCCACGGGGCCAGGGTGTAAACCATCTATCTGGTCCATTCCCTTCCCATGCTTGCGTATTATATTTTATGAAATTTAGTGTGGGGCTTCATCCCCTGGGGGATGGTTGACTTAGATGTAAGTGGTAGACTGGGCAGATGTGAATGGCATCAAATTAGCTGTTCTACTGAAATTCATAGAAAGACAAAGGGATCAATTTATATGGTCTTTGTACGTGGGAATACGAGGTAACTGCCTATTTTTCTTGATAAGAACATAAGAGACAGACCTCAGGATCCCTGCTCATTTATGTTACTCTGGGCAATTATAAATTTCCTCACATGTTAAATGTGTAAAATAAAACCTATCTTAATATGTGTACATAAAAAAAAAATCTGGAAGTGTATACAACAAAAGGTTAATAGTAGTTATTTTAAGGAGGTACAAATATCTATAGATAATTTTATTTGTCTTTTACTTTAGATTCATTTTTGATGTTTTTTATAATAAGGAAAAATATAACAAAGTAGAATTACTTTGAGTTTTTAGTTCTCAATTTTCTCACAATCAATATAGCCCCCTTTTGAAAAGAAATCTTCCATGAAAGTTAAGTCAATAAACAGATGTGAGTGGAGCTGCTCTGTTTAAGTGAAGAGGATACTGCAAAGTGCCAGCCCATGGCCTTGCTTTCCTCCTCAGGTGGTCCCTCAGGCATCTCCAAGGAGCCCTGGGCTCCACAGGGAATAGTGCTGGAAGCCACTTCAATATGGGTTAATGGAGTCCACAAAGGTAGAGAGCCTAGGACAAGGCCAGTGATGTAGCATTTACTCAAATAAGGCTAACTATTAATGTTGTTATTTTCTCTGGTTGTTTTTAGACTTCACCTTGGAAGAAAGTGGAGTAATTTATGAGAGGGAAAATGAGATAACCCTTTCCTAACGGAGCATTTACCAATTCACAGTTTCTGTCGTGGAGTTGATGGGTCCACGGTACTGGTCAAGATATTCTGTGTTGAGCCTAACGGACTAGTCAGCTGATATTTGGTGGCTGAGGATTACATAGTTTTACTTGTTCTGATCCAAGCCATGCAGATGAAGCAGTGTGGGGCTGGTCATCACGGAGTCAGCCCTGCTTTTCTCAAGCTTGCTCACTTCTCTTCGCTGGGGCCACCTGGTTGCCCCCTTAAAACTCAGCCTTGCCTAGTTTTTCAGGATCAAACTTGGCTTTTGGCAGGAGGAATGAAGAAGGTCTAGCTCACCATTTGGAGATTCAGCATTGATATTATGACTTCTTGTCTGCCTTTAACTTCTTCACTCACTTCTGAAAGCCAGGCTCCCATGTGTGCTAAAGCTAATTGTACTGGCTTATGAAAGCCAACTGTTAATTTTTCATAAATTTTGCAAGCTAGATGGTATCACCTAGGTAGCTTAAAATCAGCCATGTTGTAAGAGTTTATACCCCAGAAATTGGCAAACTCTGAAAATCTGGACTTTTCCCTGGGATATACTGGCTTAGGAACTAGCCACCAATGCATGCTCCAATTTGCATAACTAGATCTCCTTTATTCTCCAGACCTGAGTTCCTGCCTTGGTATTTCTGACTTTTCTTCCAATAGCTGCAGTTTGACCTTACATCCCACCTCTAGGCTGGTCCCCTGCTTCTCATGTCCTGCTCACAGATCTCTCCCAATGCCTGTCTACTTGAGATTCTGAACATATCATCATTACCTAGATTTTCTTACCTCACTAATTATGGGCCTTGAACCACCATCCTGCATTTCCTGTTAGGTGAAACAAGATTTCTTAATGCTGTCCCAATGCCCGTTTATTGACTTTCCCTTTACATAGTATGTTTTATCTCAAAGTCTGAAATTCCTTCTAGTTTGCTTTACCTGCCTCCCAATCTCCTCTATTCTGTCCCAATTAACTGAAATAACTCAATATTCTTTCTGTAGAATTTTTTTAAAGTTTTGAATATACTCCCCCTGGAAATCTTTTCCCATGTTATTAGGCTTTAAATTATTTAAATGTAATTTGTTAGTAGTTTTAATTTTAAAACCTAATTTAGCATTTTAATAAATAATAACATTTAATATCTATAATGAGAGTTCACCATATATAAAGTATTTAATTTCTTAACACAGCATCTATATTTTCTCATAAAATAACTAACATTAATTATTGCTGTCCATGTCCCAGACACTGTTCTGTGTGCTTTGCATGCATTAATTCACTTAATCCTAAAGAATTCCTGTGAGACGTGTACTATTATTATCATCTCCATTTTACAAATGAGGACATTGAGATAAAGTGAGGTCTTGTAGCTCATAAAGGGCAACGTGTTGGTTTGCCCCAGAACAGTCTGGCACCAGAGCCATGCTCTGAACTATTCTGGTACCCTGCCTCTTCCTAAGATGAAGCACAGAGCTAAGACTTATGAGAAACTCCATATTTTCCTATTGTTAATGTTGGCAGCTCACACTATACTGCAGAGAATTGAGGAAGAAATGACCCAATAAGATCTTTAGGCTGAAAAGTTCCTTTTCACACCCAAAGAGAGTTGGAGGAAATGACCTAAAAGAGGGACCACTGAACTACATAGAATCACAAGCTAAGAGATAAATGCACTACCTCATTATCTGTTCCCACATTTTAACTTTCCTCCCCAGTTATAACAATAGTCAGCAAAGCAGGCTATGGCAGATGCAAAAAACTGGGGAGGGAGGTGTGCACTGACTTGAGCAAAACATCTGACAAAAGGCCAAACATCCAACAAAATTCAATTCCTTTTGATTATTTGGGGAAATATAAAAATAAATATAAATAGGCATGTCCATAATTTTTAAAATTTTATTTGAGCATAAAATTAAATGTATATAAATATGTAGATAATAAATATATATTATAAAAATATATAAAAATAAATAATATATATGTTTTATTATAATGCTAGAACAATCTGGTAAAACAGAGGTCTGCGGTATCATTCTTTGGTGCTAGAATAATTCTGGAAATATTTCTTTAATGATAGTTTGTTATTTATCCTCAGAAAAATGACACCAAATTATGCTTATCCAGGTCATGAGATTTGTCATATTGAGTAAAAATGACAAAACTGAATTGCAGCAAGATAAAGATAAGAGGAAATTTGTAGTTCTTATTTATAAAGTCTAGAGTATTTTCTGGAATGCTCACAGAAAAATGAGACTGAACAGATTGAAAGGGCTCGGGAATCATCTGCATTAAAAAAAATTCTAGTTGATTATTATAAACTTTATAGTTTAAGAATTCCTCCTCTGTGGAGTGTGGTGCTAACATTCTACCAAAGAACCGAGTGATTCACTGAGTAATCCAAATTCCAATCCTTACTCTCATTCTGGGTGGAACCTGGAAAAGCAGAAAAGGGGGAAAAGGCAAAGAAGATTTGTACACGTCAGTCCATGTCGTGAGGGTTGTGTCCTCCTTATCACAGTTGCCCATCAATGGAATTTATAATGAAAAATGTGAAAACCCATAGAAACATGTTAGACAAGCCACGGGAGCCCCTAAAATGTGATTTCCATTTTATATTTTCTAAGCAAGAGAAAGACCTAGAGCAAGGAGCCTGAGCCTATTTTATCCTAGATGTCACCCTTATGATAAGTTGACTTACTAGTTAATATAACTCATCTGCTTATACCTTGAATATTAGAATAGTGGAGGGGTGTCTATTGCTTCTTTTCCTATAATATTATTGGGGGGGGGGAAATGGTTGGGCCTCTGAGGTTTGTACTTAGATCCAGTCTGCCTAGCCCAACAGATATTATGATCATCAGTTTCCAGATGAAGAAACTGGGGCTCAGTGAATGTAAATGATGTGAGCCTATAGCTAATAAATGGTAGATTTGAAGTACAGACCAGGTAGGTGGTTCCTGGTGTTTGACTACCCTCTAGGCCATGTTTGTTACATATTTTACGAGTAGAAAATATATGTCTGTGACACCTGTGCTTATTGCATTGAAATACCTTGCCAAGCATTTGTGGAAGAGAGATCTTTGTGCTTTTCCTTTTTTTTTTTTTTTGTCTTTGGTTGGCACTTTCTCTTTATTGCTTTCTTACTTGGTGCCTGGGACCACCACTTGTCTCCTAGCTGCACACGGCCTTCTGCTTTGGGATTCTACGTATTCCACTCAGCACCCACCATACGCCCTCTCCCACCTGTGCTTTAACTTCCTCTCCCCTTCACATGATGATATGCTCATCTTCTATCCTGGAGCCTAAAACCCCACCCCAAATCCTGCTGTGTGACAGTGAGATAAACCAACTCTTGCTGCTGTCTATCTAATTACATATCAGGCAAAATCTTCATCACGTTAAATTAAGCATTTTTTATAGAAAGTACTCCCAGGGTTGGAACAGTACTCAATACGAGTTCCATTTCTAGCCAAGGATGCTTTGGTGTGTTTAAACCAAATAGGCAGAAGCCTAATTCACTTATATTTAAAGCCAGCCTTGAACATTGGCATTTATTTAAATACCCTCCAGGGACACTCAAGTCTTCAATGCTGCACACACAGAGAGATTCAAATCAAACACACACACTGACATTTCCGCACTCCTTCCCCAGATACTCATAATATTTAAGGCCAAGCTGATGTCAGGAAACCCTCCTGAGAATGGAGCTGCTCCCATAGGAGTTTGTCTAATGGAGCCACTGGCATTTCCTCATCCGTCGAAGGAGTGTTGAAAGTGATGACTTTACAAAGTCATCAAGGATTTTAGTTAGCATGGAACTCCATACAGTAGTCTCCCCAGACCAGACTCAAACCACCTAAGAAATAGGGAATATGGAAGACTGGACTCTCTTCTCTCTCTCCCAGCTCCCAGCTTTAACTTGCTATCTTCTTTGCAAGGGGCACTACACAATTGAGAATAACTGCTACTAATAATATTTTAGCATCAACAAAACATTTTCATATGCCTGTCATCCTTTGATGACATCTTCACAAGCATTATTTATTTTTCTAATATTTATTTTTCTAATATTTATTTTCTATTTATTTTTCTAATATTTTGGATCCAGGATTTTGGTGCAGCTCAGAGGAACTGGGACTTTCCCAAGGCCCTTTCTAATTGTAGGTTGACAGAACAATGTATTAAGATTTTAATTTGTGTTTTGTTCTCATTTTTTTTTTTTTTTGCCCCATTTTGTGGTGGTAACCTGGCCTTTTTGTTTTCAGGCCCTTTGTGATAGAGTCAAAATAAAAGTAACCCAAGGACATGTTCCTTTTCTGCATTGTTTTCTGACTTGAACTCCTTGAGGGAGTTATACCAAGGAAGTGGAAATAAGTGAGAGGCTTTGGAGGGGAGGGAAAGGGAAATTTCCACGAGATGAAGCAGCAGTTGTTAAGGTACCCTGGGGTGGGTGTTTCTAGTTCTTCACAGAGTCTTGGGCGTGGGTGGCAGGACCTCAGAGGGAAAGGACTGTGTGATTCCCCTAAGGAGACTGGGCCACAGGTACCCAGGTCCCAGGCTCCACACGGATATCCTGTCCAAGAAAGCAGGCATAAGCCTTCTTCTCAGGGAGCACACGGGCCTGGACAAAGACATTCAGTGGTGATGATCAGAGACTAGAGAGGCTACCATAAATATCTGCTTTGCATAAAATTTCAGAACCCTGGTGTCATCCTAGGCAAGGGAGAGAGATCCTGCAGCAACTGTGATTAGTTTAATGTGACAGGACTACCGATGGACTTAAACAGGTCCTTAAGACTTGAGTTTGTTGAGTAGAATGTAAACCTATTAAGCTGGAGATCAGGCACCGCAAGTTTGGTTGCGTTGCCACAGCACTTACTGCTCATGAAGTTTACATTTAGATGGGCAACAGGAAAGATCCAGTAGAGTCATTGTTCTATATGCTTGTAGCAAAAAGGGAATCTAGGCTCCGTCTCTTTTTGAATGTTTCAATATTTAAATCTACAGCCATGGATCACATAGCATTTCTAGATGGTTAGATCAGTCAGCTGGCATCGG